CTTTTAGGCTGTTGTGAAAAGTTTCTAAAACGTTGAAAGTAGCAGGAGAAACCTGATGGGAGCCATGATGTTTGTTCAGATGGATAAGATGATAGAAGGCTTGTATTTTATTATCCACCGTCCGCTAAGCTGCCTCGGCGGATGACATAAGAGTATTTTCCTCTTTTCATTCGTCCCTCGTGTCTGTATCCTGTTTTGTAAACATTGTGGAATTATTTTCCTAATTCGCTGTGCAGATGTTGCTCTGAACACAACCTCACTGGACCTTTGAAGCATCCTAGCCTATCAATGCCTTTGTTTTTGATACTTGGCTCCAGCATCAATTCATCTAAAACACTCTGGGTGGACTCGCTGCAGAAACAATCACCCAACGTCCTTATTACACAGGTTCTCCTCATCCTCATCGAGCTGCATGCACTCTCTCCATAAACAAGTTTTTTTCTGATTGCTGTTTCGTTTTGTTTACAACTCAAATTGTTCCTGAGCTTGTGGCACACCCTGAACACATTTTAAAAACACATTTTAAAGGTGAAAGGTAGCTCCTGTTGAAATGAGTTAGCCAGAGTCATTTGTAAGATAAGGCCAAGATACCTCATGTCCACGTAGGTCTGCAAACGTCCAGACAGCAGGAAGGAGACCAGAATAGTGGAGCTGTTGGCGAGCCGTGTATCTCATGATGGGAAGCTTTTCCTGTTGCACTTTTGTGTTATACGGACAAACAAAGCTGCTTTTCTGTTGTCGTAACAGCGACTTTGTGGTTCAGGACCTCACAGAAGTAGACGAAAGTCCGCAGTTCACGATCGCAGATGAATTGTTCATTGTTTATCAGGCCAATGTCAGTTGCAGTGGACTCCAGACATCCAGAAAATGATTGGATCCAAGTGTCTCGAGCACCTGTCCCTGCATCACCTGTTCACTGCAGTTATAAAATGGCATGTTTGCTTACATTTATTTATTTAAAATAAATGAAAAATTCTAATTCCTGTGAATAAGTCCTCAAGAGAAGTGGAAACATCAGAGATTTAACTTCAGACTCAGGTCACTGCGTCTGTGAGACTCCACAGATCTACTGAAGCTTTTCCAGGACATTATCACACATGGATGAATTCTGAGGTGGACCTTTTAAAGGAGACTCTTAGTGATTCAGTGACAGTCTGTTAGCTGTGGATGAATGAAACCCAAACTCCTGAGCCACATAATAAAGAAGCAGCTCTGTTAGGCCACTGAAGGGAAGGACCACTGCAAACCGACTCAGAGCTCCCATTCAGTGGATGCTTTGATTAAAATGATGAGGATCATGTTCTTTGACGTTCCTAGTCAGCAGATCTTAACGTGTCCACTTGTTAAACGACACTAAAAGTCCACCCTCGAGGACGATGCCAGAAAATGCAAGAATCGGCGTCTAATAACGTAAAGCTGTCTCTGCGTTAGGTCTTCACAGCCCAAGCTTTCTGCCATTACTGCAGAGCCACAGCTGCTCTGCAGGCGCTTTGCTGCACCTCACTCATTTTCATTCTTGTTGTCGTATTTTATTTAAAGCCAAGGATGTTATGTAAGAGCCTCGTTTAGTGCA